GGATACGTCCAGTGCGATGTCGCGCTCAGAGACACAGATCACGGACCTCGATTGCCAGCATCTTATTCGAAACTTACTTGACCTCCTCGGGGAGGAAGATAGAGCCAAAGTGGATGATTGTGGTACCCTTCGCATCAATGGCAACCAGCCCATGTTTTCTTTCTGCCGTATCAAGTTTTGTGCTGGCACGGCTGGGGATGTACTATGGAACTGTAAATACTTGTGGGATGGGTTTATCTTGGATCCTAGTGAACGCACAGTTGCTCAAAAGAAGCTCGCAGGATATCGCACCATGCAGAACATCCTCACAGATATGGACCGTCGTCCCAAGAAAATCATCATCAAGATCGAGGCCCCAGAGTGGAAGAAGGGTCATATTGCCGCCGTGGGACGTTTCCATGGGATCTGGAGGCAGACGATTCTCAAATAATATCCGAACACAAAGTTTGGCATCACGAGTCAGACTGGATCGGGCAAAGGCATCAGCACTATCTGGACCAAGCCGCCCGACCTCCAGACCCATCGACCCATCGAGCTTGCAGTTTGGAAGGCATCAGAAGCACGCTGGACCATGCACAAGGATGTCTGGGACGCGGTCTTGCCTCGTTACGGTATCCAGACCACCGTGGCCGCTTTCCAATCCAGCTTTGAGCGAGGGCGCCGCGAGAGCGGTGACAGAGGCAACAAGCCTTTCGCGGCAGGTTCCATGAATGTTGCCAGGGTTGGTCGCCGTGATGCTAGAGGATTTGCCCTATTCAGACAGCTCCTTCATGAAGGAGTTGCGGTGGTTGGCCTCCAGGAGTGCCAGCACTTACTTTTCTCCGATGGGATCAGACGGCTTGGTTGTCTGGGTTATCGATCCAGCTGTCTCCGAGCAGGGGTTCTGGTACGGGCATCGTATCAATGCAATATAATTTATACTTGGGTTAACTGATATAGGTTCGCGGGTGTGCTTTTCGGTAACGGTGTTTGCTTCTGCAGTGCTTATTTCAAAGACAGCTCGTATGATGACTCTCCGACGGGTATGGAGACAGTGTGCCGACAGTTGCGGCAACTACGCCGTGAGGCGGTGCAGAGGCTCCCGGGCGCTCGCTTGCTTCTTGTGTGTGACGCCAACGTGGAGATCACGCCTGACCTTGTGTCGACACGGGGGGGGCAGATCACGGGGGAGGGACTTATGATGACACGGCAAAGAGGATATGGGAATGATTCAGAGAGCAGACGGTGGAGGGAGGAGATGAGGAGGGAGCATTTTGAACACTTCATGGGGGAGGAGGGACTTTGTGCCATCAATACTTTTGCAGAACGGACTCCGACCTACTTGAAGTGGGGAGCCGCCAGCCCTAGCAAAGTGCTAGATTACGTTTGCATTCCGACGGCCTGGGGGAGGGGAGAGACCATCGTGAAATGGCTGCGTGACGGAGTCCACAGCCACTACTCTGATCACGCCTTTCCCAAGTTCGAGATTCGACCCCAGGTTTGTGCTCCTCGATATCGACCTCGCTCCCAACCCCGCCCTACCTCCACGGCTCGTCGACCTCCTCTGACCAGCTCCAACAATCCCAGTTCGCCTCTCTCGCGGACATCGGCATTCCCAACACATCCCCAGCAGACATTGGGTCGTACTTGTCTGGTCTCGCCGATCCCTATCTTGTGCCGCCAGCAGTCAGTTCCGCGCCTGTCAAGCCGGCGGTGTTGGCCGATCTCCAGGCCGTGTACCGCAGGCTCAAGTCACGCACCGACATGGACCCCCAAGATAAGAGAGCCCAAATGAAAGCCATTGCCAAGCAAATCAGACCCCATAAACGGCAGTACCACAGGGTCCGACTTACTTGGGAGTTTCAGGGAGGAAGGAACACACAGTGGGTTCAGACTACATCGTTGGAGGTGGACGGGGAGGTTACGGAGGATCGGTGGAAGTGGGAGGATGCGCTTCAGATACACGGGGCGACAACCATGTCGTGTGCACAGTCTCGCGCAGAGCAGCTCTCTTTGCTACGACGCTTGCGGGAGCAGGCCAATGCGTCATGTCGGCCAGCGCCGAAGCTCTCTTTTGCCGTTGTGCTCAGAGCGAGAGCCCGCCTTCGCACGGGGAGGTCGTGCGGGCCCGACGGATGTGCAGCCGAGTTGCTGAAATCGCTCACGTGGAGATCTATCCGCCATATCAACACCACATTTTTCTATCTATCGTGCATGCTCTCTGACTCCAGATACATGGCGACAGGTTCTCATTGCGTTGATGCCCAAAGTACCCACGTTGCGATCATTGAGTGAGACACGCTCGATTGTCGTTGCCAATCGTCTTGCCGAATGGTACCTCACATCCCTCACTATTACACTGGAGGCGGAGGTGTCTGGGGACCTGCAACGACTGGGACTCTACGGTTTCAGCCCTGGTAGGAGCCCTTGGGAGATCGTGGGGCCACTCAAACGGATATGTCAACATGGGAGCGTCTGGGGCAAAAACAACAACGACCAAACTGCTTATGTTGCGCAGGCCGATATCAAAAAGGCTTTCGACAACATTACGATCAAAGTTGTGGCGCGTGCTCTGGAGGCCCTCAAAGTCCACCCTAGGCTCACGCACGGTATCCTGGAGCCTCTTGTTGGGACGTCGGGTATATTATGTTTCGAGGGCTTGAATGCTACTGCATCCTGGGACCGCTCCATCCGTACGGGGGGCACAGAGAGTCCCTTGCTCTTTAATCTTGTGGTGCTCGCGGTGTGTGCTGACCTATTCAAGTCTTGGGAGGACCTCCAGCTAGGATGCCCCGTGACGGACATCTTGGGTGTATCTATGGGCGTGTGCAGGTACTCACATGCCTTGTGGACGGATAACATATATCTCGTTGCGACTTCGGCTCAGGATTTACAGTACCTCTTGACATCACTCACCACTTGCTTCAGAGACTGGGGTTTGTCATGGAAACCAGACTCTCTCGAGTATATGATTGCAGGAGGCTCCCCACCGTGCTCCTTTGAGGTGGATATTGCAGGGAGCCCCTTCCCGCTCAAGAGAGTGACGAAAATGCAGGTACTAGGGGCGGTGGTGGAATCAGAGTTTGATAATACACGTGGAGATCTTCGTCATCGGATCACGATGGCCAGGAGGGCTTCTTCTTCCTCGCACAAGCACCGTACTTTCGTTTTAAATATGTGGGCCCACGGGCTAAGTTCCACAGATATCAACAGAGAGTTCAGAGCGTCATGTCCTACGGCCTCGACTGTTGTACACTGGATGCAGAGGGGCTACGTTTATTGCACAGCTGCGAGGGGAGTCTACTCATGTCTATGGTCGGGCGCAGGAAGCCAGCCACTGAGAGCTGGGATATATGGAGACCACGACGATTGGACTACGTCCGACGACAATTTTGTGATGAAGGTTTTCAATCGATCACACAGTTGGTATGTGCACGCAGTTTCAATGTTGCACGAAGTGTGGCTCAGTATGTGCAGGGTCAGCTTGCTATCCATTCTCGTTACACTGCCAGGGAGACGGATACGGAGGATGGGGGGGATGTGAGACGGGGGATCGACAGAGGGGGCGGACGGTGCTCACGTACCTTTTTGGACAGTCGAGGCACTTTGCTCCTCGACAATCCTGAGTGGACGCCTTGGAGAGACGACCTGACATCTTGTTTGCATGCATCGGGACAGCTCTCACTGGCACGCTCGGGCACCAGGAGACGTTTTGGTCCCACGAGTATAGGTCAACGGACCTGGCAATACCCGTATAGGGAAGTCTTGGGACCCTGCTGGTGGGGCGGCTTTGACGACTCATACACAGGCTTTGTGAAGTTGTGGCGGACGATCTTGGGACACTTCAATAAACGCAAAATCTTTGAATATTGGGATGTTGCCACCACAGGTCCCAGTTGGAGCTCCACCCAGTTCGAGGCCAAGCAGTCCACCGAGGGAACGACTCCTGAGGCCCTTGAGAAACAGTCCAAGCGTTTGGCCATTATATGTCAGCGTGCTACGGTTTGGGACGTCTTGAGCGAGGGGATAGGCGTGGACCTCCAAGGGGGCTCACTACTGGTCTCATCGTGGCTCCAAGGGGAGTGGAGGTGCCATAGTCAGGGTTATGCCGACAGAGTTGCGGAGTGTGTGGATGTGCGAGCTGAGCTGCCGCGCGAACATCCGCGCGGCGAACATAGGACGGGACATATATCGACTTGAGTACAGGGAAGATAACACCAGGGCCGACGAGCTCACCCACCTGGCCCGGGAGGGCCGCACCTTCTACTCCAATCAGGTTGCATGCAGTCCGATTGAGTCACAATATCTTATACACGTCGCCCATCGTGGGGCATACGATGGGGGAGTGGACGGCAACGGTTGCGGATGTGGTTTTTGGCTGCAGAAAGGCTTCTTGGATTGCAGTCAGTGGGGTCTTACCTACCACACCACTCCTCCTCCATTCGGCTCTCGTCAGATAGCCCGCAGGAGGACCCCAGGGAGTGAGCCACGTGATGCCCTCGTTTGGAGGGACATCGCCTCCAGTGCCTTTCTTTTACCACCGCGCTCCACGATCACAGATTGTGAACTGGCTGCCGCCGAGGCGCTCACACGCGCCCTCCGCTTAGACCTGCTAGGCTCGCTAGGCGCCCAGTCGGGCGGCGCTGCGGACGGCGCCCTGGAGCCCGCGCAACCCCCCAAAAAACCAAAGTTGCCTTCGGGCGGCCTGGTGCCGTCGGGAACTCCTTGGTGCCCCCCCCCCCCCCGCCGCGCTCCCCCGCCCTCGGCCGCCCGTCTTTCTTCCTCCTCCTCGGGCCTCGGTACCCCTCGCGATAGCGGCCGCTGCTCGGACGAGTCCTACGACATCTCCGCCAGGAAGCTATGCGAGTTCTGACATCGGCTTGCTCTTCCAGGTCAACAGGTGCTTGTGTGTGCTTGTGTGGTGCGGTTGCTGGATCGGGCCCAGTTTACAGTACAGCTGCTGCCACGTCTTGCGGATACGGTTTCTGCTGTGACTTGCCTCGTTGTTGTGCTGGTCCGCAATGAGTATGACTCCAATGGCTTTTGTTTCCGAGTTTATGACTTCTGATTTTGTTTCAGAGCGCATGGATTGCACGGCATCAGATTTTGTCTCCTCACGTTTGCCTGTGCTCGGAGTATGTGTGAATGACTTGTATGCTCGTGTTGGGACCTTGACATGTGAGCAGATGGGGAGGCCCGTCACGAAAGCGTCGCCCTCGCAACGGCGTCGTTCACGTGCTAGACAGGTGAAGCACCGTCTCTGGTTGTCTTCCACGTCTTTGTCGTGTCAGGTGGGAGATTTCACTGGCCTCTGTCGTGCCGATGTCGTCGCACCTCGTTACTGTCGTAACCGCGGCCCTGCTGGGGCGGCTCCGTGGACAGGCGTGCGAGCTTCTTCGACACCAGGTGTGGGGCCTTCCTCCCCGATGTATGTTTCTCTTGCAACGACAGCGGGCGTTGCGACGATTTCCCATCATTTTCCGGATGTGCTTGAGAGTGATATTGCCGTGGTGGAGGATGCTCGAGTGGCTAGTGTTGATCCTGTCCCTGATGCCGTTCCCGATGTATCAGTTTCGGATGCGAGTGCCTCGGTCCAGCTAGCGGCAACGGGCGTTACGACGACTTCTCATCATTTTCCGAATGTGTCGGGGAGTGGTGTTGCTGTGGAGGTGGAGGATGCTCGAGTTACTTTTGTTGAGCCTGTGCCTGACGGCGTTCCCGATGCGTTAGTGTCGGATGCGAGCGCCTCAGTCAATCTTGCGACAATGGGCGCTACGATGCCTTCACCGTCTTCTCCCAATGTGTACGAGAATGGTGCTGCCGTGGAGGCGGAAGGTGCTGAAGTGAGCGGTGCCGCTTTCACCCCTGATGCCGTGCCCGCTGTGCCCGCTTCGGATGCGAGTTGCTCGGTCCATCCTCCTGCTCTTGCGATTGACCCCCGAGCCATGCGTATCAAACGGTATTGTTTCCGACGAGAGGTGCCTGTTGCGGAGACCCCGCCAGTGCTTGCATCCACGGCGGATCATGTAGTTCATTCTCTCCTGCCGCGGCCGTATGTGGACTCAGGCGTGCTGCGTGCATACTTGGGCTTGTTTCCGAAAGAGGACGATGACGACTCGAGTGATGAGGAGTCCGTGAATGCACAGATAATTTGGGTTGTTGACTTCTTGGGAGCTTGGCATCAGGGCCCCCACGAGGAGCGGGATGCTTTCGTGCAAGCCTGGGCGGAACCCCTGGTGTATGGTCACTTACCTGACATGTGCCAATGCCTACATTACATTTCCACTGAGGAGCGAATCGATATTGCCCATCGGCGTAAGGCCTCCGTACTTGTTCAAGCTCTCTTGGATATCGTGGGGCCGGTGTGGCACTCCGCGTTGTAGTCTGACTTGGTGCCTTGTGGTCTGTGATGGACCCTGCGTGTACGGCGTCAGGTCGCGCGGTGTTACCCCACAGTTCTATGAGTGCGGCTACAGAGTGTGTCGACTGCTTCGATGGGAACGGAGAGAGCGAAGATCAAAGCCGGAAATCAACGCCACCATCTGCAGATCAAAGCCGGAAATCAACGCCACCTCGCTCCTCTCTCCCCCGTGCTGCTTTCGCCCCTGGTCTCGCTTTGTCTGTTTGGGCTCCCCCGCTCTCCCGCTGGCTTTCCTTCGCTCCCCGCTTGCAGGGCTCATGAGAGACATTTTGCAGTGTTATCTTGCACAGGTATGTGTGCACTCGTAGGTTGATTTTAGTCTCATTCCATTGCCTGCCTGCTCACTGGCGCGACGTCGGCGGTGCTGGTTTCGGGGCAGTGTGGGCAACCCCAGTTACATTATCAACAATGAATGCTTCGAGCGTTCTCGGAGTGAGTGGCTTCTTTGATGGAGGCCGTTCCTCTGAAGGTTGCGGCGGCGGCTCGGTTCTCGATCTGTACATTCTTCCAACGCTCCTTTTTCATTTTAGTCATCAGGATGGCTCCGCTTCTCCGAACGGTTTCTGGTGGTGCAGTGTTGCCTCGGAAGCCTTTCGTCTTCCGCCCTCGTGTGCAGTGGCCCAGGCTGAACTTCTTGCTGCAAAGCACCTCCTGAAAGGTGTGGCGGCGGTCCTTCAGGCGCTTGGCCTGTTTCGCCCCATCTGCGTTAGGCTGTGACTCGAGCGGGCCTGAACTCAGGTCTGTGGCTCTTCGCAAAGCAAAAACCAAGGTTGACGGTTTACCGCCGGCTCCCAGTTGTTGGAAGCTTGAGTAATTCCGGCGCGCTGGAGGGCTAGTCGGCAAGAAAACTCTCGACGGACATTTTGCGGATTTTTGCTCGGTTGACAACTATTTTCTCGAAGTTGAACAACTTGTTAGAGCTCTTGTAACTCGTAGAGCTTCCCTCAGCTAGTTTCTGGAAGCTTGAGTAATCCCTGCGCGCTGGAGGGCTAGTTGGCAAGAGAAAGTTATACGAATCTTTTGCTGATGTTTGCTCGGTTGAAAATGATGTTCTCGAAGTTCAACAATTCGTTTGAGCTCTAGTATTTTCATTGTGATATTCGATCTTATTTCCGCTCGCCGTCTCAATCTCAGCTCGATCGGGTACTTATTGCTGCCAAAAAGCGTCCGGCGGGATCGGCTGTTTCGAGTCATCTTGACAGGTGCTGTCGGTTTTCTCAACTGAACTCGAGAGCTGTAGGAGGGCTACAGAGCTGGTGCGCACGCGTAGTCGATTCAGAATCATCAGGCGCGTTCGTCTGAAGCATCTAGAGGTCTGAAATCGGTCTGCTACTCGAGCTGGGTCCGCGAAACTATTCGTATTCTACAGATTTTTCCGAGGTAATGATGAGTTTCTTCACTTAGCTCGAGTTGCAGATGAGCTAAAGGGCTCGTCGGCACAGCAATCGGAAGGAAATGATCAGGCGCGCCAGTCTGAAGTATCTAGACGCTTCAATTGGGTCTGTTATGAGCGCAGAAGCCGAACAACTAGTCATACTCTGTTATTTTTCTGGTGTTGGAGTTGGTTTTCTGGACTTAACTCGAGCTGCAGATGAGCTCCAGAGCTCTTAGGCACAACAATCGGAAGATACTTATCAGGCGCGCTATTTGAAAGTATCTAGACGCCTGAACTCAGTCTGCTATCAGCGCTCGGGCTGAACAACTATTTGTACTCTGCTAATTTCTTGGAGATGGTATTGGTTTTCTTGGTTTTACTCGTGCTGCAGATGAGCTACAGAGCTTTTCAGCACAGCAATGGGAAGGAAATCGTCAGGGACGCTAGTTAAATGTATCTAGACGCCTGAAATCAGTCTGCTATCAGCGCTCGGGCTGAAACACTATTCGTTCTCTGCTAATTCTTTGAAGATGGTATATGGCCAGGAAGCTCTACGAGTCTCCCGGCTCAAGGCTCAAGGCTCAAGGCTCCGCGAACGTTCATTTTCTCCTGCCTGGGGAACCTCCGCGAAGGTGAACGTTGAGCTAGCGTGTTGTTTTGCTCTGCTTACGCAACTGCCCATCTCCCTGTACATCTTGCTTGTCATTATTTGCCTCTCATATTCATTTCTCGTTGCGGTTTGGTGGTGGCAATTTGTATACGCGGACTTGTTCCTCACTGCCTAGAGTGGTGCTCGTAATACATCTTGCTTGTCAGTGTCTGCCTCTCATACTTATTTCTCGTTGCGGTTTGGTGGTGGCAATTTGTATGCGCGGACTTGTTCCTCACTGCCTAGAGTGGTGCTCGTAAGTCTCGTTCCTTCCAGATCTGCCTTGAGTGGATTGCATATTGATCTCTTTCGAGTGCGGGTATCACATTGAATTCATTGTGTGACAATTGTACTTGTTCCTTCCTCTATTCTCTTTGCTTCGTTGCCACATTTCTGTCTGAATTGGACTTTGATTGTGACTGATGCCTCACGTGCGGAGCCTCACATCCAGGCGTATGCGTCGTGCTCGGGCCTGCCATCTGAGATGGGTCCGATCAGCATCACCATTCTCTTACATTCTTTGGTTTGTGAATGTTGTTTCTTTGATGGAAATATCGTAACACGGTCGGTTGTCGCATCGTCGATGTGTCTCTGAGGTTGCGACATACTTCGGACTTTGTGTTTGCATTGACTCTTGCCATGCTGTGTGTGTGTGTCGGGCATGCGCGCATGTTGGTATAAGAGCTCCGCGTGCTTTTCATTTTGTTCGGAATAAGAGTTTCGCATGTGCCCACTTCCGTTCAAAGAGTGGTGGGTGTCTTGCCTGACTCTGTATGCCGCCCTTTTTCCTGCTAGCGACTGGGCCTGACGGCCCGCATAGTCGATTGCAAAGACCGCAAAAACAAAGGTTGACGGCTTACCGCCCGCGCCCAGTATTTTTTCCCCTGGTATTCGATCTTATTCCCGCTCGCCGTCCTAATATCAGCTCGATCGGGTACCTATTACTGCCAAAAAGCAACTTGGCGGGATCGGCTGTCCTGGTCTTCTTGACAGGTGGTGTCGGTTTTCCGCACAAAACTCGAGCTGTACGATAGCTACAGAGCTGATGCGCACACCGAATCGATCCAGAATGATTAGACGCGTTCGTCTGAAGCATCTAGAGGTCTGAACTCGGTCTGCTACTCGAGCTATGTCCGCGAGGCTATTCGTCCTCTATTTCTCTTTATGCTGATGATGAGTTTCTTAACTTAACTCGAGCCTCAGATGAGCTAAAGGGCTCGTCGGCACAGCAATCGGAAGGAAATGATCAGGCGTGCTAGTCTAGAGTATCTAGACGCCAGAACTCGGTCTGTTATCAGCACTGGAGACGAACATACTGTTCGTACTCTCCATTTTTCTTTGTTTGAGTGATGGTTTTCTTGACTTAACTCGAGCTGCAGATGAGCTACACAGCTGTTCGGCTCAGCAATCGGAAGGAAATCATCAGGCGCGACAGTTCGAAGTATCTAGACGCCTGAAATCAGTCTGCTAACAGCACTGGGGCTGAAACGCTATCCTTTTTTTTTTTTTTTTTTTTGACTTAACTCGAGCTGCATATGAGCTCCAGAGCTCTTAGGCACAGTAATCGGAAGGAAATCGTCAGACGCGCCATTTCAAAATATCTAGACGTCTGGAATCAGTCTGCTATCAGCGACCGGACTGAAACACTATTCGTACTCTGCTCATTTCTTGGAGATGGTATTGGTTTTATTGACTTATTTCGCGTTGCAGATGAGCCACAGAGCTGTTCAGCGCAGCAATCGGGAGGGAATCATCAGAGGCGCTGGTTAAACGTATCTAGACGCCTGAAATCAGTCTGCTATCAGCGCTCGGGCTGAAAAACTATTCGTACTCTGCTAATTCTCTGGATATGGTATTGATTTTCATGATTAAATTCGAGCTGCAGAGGAGCAAGGAAGCTCTACGAGTCTCCCGGCGGTAACCAAGGTTGACGGTTTACCGCCGGCGCCCAGTTGCGGGTCAAGGAGGAGGTGACGGGAGACAGAGAATTACGGGAGGAGGAGGTCGATGACTACGCTGTCAGAACTATGGCGTGTGACGAGAACAGGCGAAGGAACCAGCAGCTTGTCAGTCATTTACGCTGCCGTGCATCTCAGAGCTCTACCAACACACCCACGCTGACACACTCTATGATTCTCCAGGCCCGGGCGCGGCTGCGCTCGGGCAGGGCCTGTGGTCCTGAGGGTATTTCTATTGAACTGCTGAAGTCTGTATCTTGGAGGGCGCTCCGTTCTATCTGTCGTGTGTTTCGTGAGATATTCGATGGGCTGCGCCCGGCGCCCTCTGTGTGGCAAGATGTGTACTTGACCTTGATGCCCAAGACTTCTAGACTGGACAGTTTGAAAACAACGCGGAACCTGCTCGTAGGAAATGCGTTAGGGAAGTGGTATCTTATGTGTGAGGCGATTATGATGGAGTAGTGTGCTGAACCCTACATGTGTGAGATGGGTATTTACGGATTCTCCTCTGGGCGGCGCTGCTGGGAGATCTCAGCCGCCTTCAAGAGTATTGCTCAACGTGCCAGCGTCTGGGGAAAGGACCAGGCAGCCTGGCTCCTCAGTTGCGACATCTGTCGGGCCTTCGACGGTGTGACGTTGCAGACTGTTGCTCGGGCTATGGGCGTTCTTGGGATCGGGCGACGTTTCCAGTATGCTCTACTCGAACCACTGGCCAAAACAAACTGGACTGTGATCTTGGAGGGGGTGGCGGTCCCAGGCATCAGCTGGGATAAGAGCCTCCGAGCGGGAGGAACGGAGTCCCCGATTACGTTCAACCTAGTGTGCGTGGCTTTGTGGAAAGGAGTGGTCGGACAGTGTGTTCACGATCGTATGGGTGTCCAGATTCCTGATCATGCCAACCCTGCCATGTATACATACTTTCATCATGCGTTGTGGGCGGGCATTTTTTTTTTTCTCGCTGCGAAGACGGCCCAGGAGGCTCAGACGATTGCCGATCGTTTCACTGCCGCACTCAGGGATTGGGGGATGTAGTGGAAGGAGGACAGTCTAGAGATGATGACATGTGGCACTAAGTGTACGAGGGTCATCACTGTGGAGATCGGGAGTCGTCGTGTGCCGTTTAAGCGAGTCGAGCAGCTGAATGCTCTGGGCTTCAGTGTGCCGAGAGTCTTTGTTTAGACCCCAGCATTAAGATGTTTCCGAGCGTATGCAGTGTGCGAGACGCGCCTTCTATGCTCAGATACATTTTCGGCTGTCGTGCGATGCTGTGGATAGAGAAGTTCAGACGGTATCAGAGCACGGTGCAGTCCCGACTTCTGTGCGGCGGCGAGGCGCTCGCTCTCGATGCCGAGGCGGTGCGCTGTGCTCATGCTTTTGAAGGGACGTGCCTCATTCGTATGACGGGGGGGAGGAAGCCAGGGAACGTGGGGTGGGAGGTATGGCGGCCACAGGTACTTCGGCAGGTGCGATCCCGTTTCTGCCAACTCGGCTTCCCCTCTGCAGTCCAGATGTTGTGCTGGAAGAGCTGGGGCTTGATGCGCTCCGCGCAGCAGTGTATGTTCACGCTCTCTTCTGCTACTAACACGGACAAGCGCTACGAGTTCCCGGCGGTCAGCGCGGTCCATGGGGAGCAGGAGGTATCAGCTACACGACGTACCAAACGGGTTCGATTTACGGAGGGGGAAGGGGATCATGTGACGACGGCCATGGACATGGAGGAGGAGGTTATCGGGAC